GGAGGCTGAGGTCGGAGAATCACTTGAACCCAGGGGGCAGAGTTTGCAGTGAGCTGAGATTACATTGCACCACTGCACTCCAGCCTGGGTGATAGAGTGAAACTCTGTCTCAAGAAAAAAAAAAAAAAAAGGATTGTAAGGAGTAAGTTGCTAAGAAAAGTTGGAGGAGAAAAGAAGGTAATTTTTAGGAGGACGATATTAGAACAATTCCAGACCCAAAGCAGAGAGTTTCTAACTAAAACTACCATTGTCATTGGGGAACAAGTTATGTGCACCAATAGAGAAATGCTTTTCAAACTGACCAATCAAATCAATGGGGCCATAATTTTTAAACCTGCCAGTCAGTTAAATTTATTAATTAGATAGTACCATCAACATCTGGTATTGAGGTAGATTTAGAATTGGTAGACTCAGAAAAACAAGTGGACTTAAATTTTTCCTTGAACAAAGTGGTTGTTTGACTGATTTAGAAAGTTTATTTTCGAACATTTCAGGATTACAGTAACTATTAGAGTCACAATTCCAGATCAGCAACTCTGTGACTCCTAATGCAGCTGATTAACTTCATTGTAGTACATCGAAAGAAATAAAGAATAATGATTTGATCTTCTTTAGGGGTTTCATGAACCACCAGAAGACTATTAATTCTTTCATAAATATAGCTTTAGACATTCTGGGTCTTAGAAAGGGAAAGGTAAAAGGTGATCACTTGGTTTTATCAGCTAGTATTTATCTACAATAGCGTTTACCTGATATTTACTTTGAAAAACAAGGAAAACACTATTGTTACTCCCTGTCACTTGTTACTGAAGGAACTGAATTAGAAGGCATTGTAGCTTTTTTAAGCCCAGGTTAAAAATTCATATCGTGTTTCAGATCGCCATGGCTTCCCAGGTCAAGAGCAGCTTGAAAAGGTCAATTTTACAATTTTACCCAGCTTTATCCCCACCTGTACTTCACTCCTACACCGTTTAGTAAAAACTGCATTACTTTGAAGTTGAAGGTTGCATTTAGGCAGGCAGAGCAGCTTTACTCCCACCCTGAGTTGGAGCAGATAATGGATTCCGCAGAACAGGTGTCCAACTGGCCAAGGTCATCGCACAATGAGTCAGTGTAAATATCCAAATTGCAGTTGTGGACAAACTCAGCACATGACAGGTGCAGTTGATAAGTGTCCTTTTGTCTAGGTGTCACAGTGGTCTGAGGACACGGAACAAATCAAATGAAAAAGGTTGTGCCTGCCTTAGAAGGTTATGTCTTTACTAATCCTGTAGCAACCAGCAGGCTGGCATTAATCTGTGCAAATCTCTGCTCTGGTGTGTTTGGACGATTTTGTTTTTCAGGAGCTATTTGTTCAGGGGAAACAAATGGAAAGTGGAAAGATGAAGTCAGTTTTCTCGTGACGTTTTCAAGGATGAATACTTGTGAAGGACAAGCAGGCAATCTCTTCTTAGAAAAAGTCAATCCAGAGAACCTAGAAGGTCCTTCAGAGTGGCAAATAGAAGATCGCAACTTGAAGGAAAACACGAGTAAGAAAATCCGAAGACTCAGCCCATGAGAAAGAAGAGAAACTATAATTTCTAATATATTACAAATTCATGGTTCTCAGCACTGCACTTAAGTTTCAACCTCAGACAATGCCTAAAATTCAAAGGCATCAGATATATGTGAGGTGGGAATGATTGCTCACAGAAAATGGATTTAAGTTTCTAGAATTAAAAAAAACAATCTAGTTGATGAGATGAAACAAATTTAGAAAGATACAGGACCAAGGTGCATGTATTAAAGCTAGTTTATAGTACTGCTTATTTCCTAGATGAAAAGGCTAAGATAATGTTAAATACTTTGCTCAAAGTTAAATCATTAGAAAGTAAATGAGTGTAAACTTGTTTATTTATATCCCAGTGTAATGGAAGAGTCAGCAAACATTTCTGAAAACAGCCATGTTAAGAAAGCAAAATAACTCTCTTACAGACTTAGAACAGAGTGTACATATTAATATTGGTTCATAGAATTTTGTCCCCACTTCAGAAATGAGAAGGGTGAAGTTAAATGACTTGTTTAATGTTATTCTGTTAGAGTGGAAGAACCCAAATTCAAGGCCAGGTCTTTTGACTGTTAACCCACTTTTCCTGTTACTTTACCACAGTCCTTGTAGCACTCTGAGTAGCAAAACAGGCCTCCAGAAAATGCTGAGTCTAACAAGGCCTACTACATTGTTCTCCTTCCAGGGTCAGTGCAGCGATAGCTGGGTAGGAGTGCTTGGCCTGCACGTTGACAGTGGGAGCCATAGCCTTCTCTCTCTCTCAAGGTACAGTTTGCCAACAAATACATTTTTTGAGCACCTACTATGTGTCAGAAATCATTCTAATTACTGGGATACCATACAGAGTGACAGATTCCTTGCCCTCAGAGGACTTTTATATTAGTGGAGGAGACACAATCAGTAAGCATCGAACAACTAAATACATCACATCAGGTATTGGGAAGAAAATGAAATCGTGACTAGCTCTGGCAACATAAGGAAGGGACTAAGGTCAGCTGGGTTTTTCAGCTAGTCTGGTTGGTGGGTTCATTAAGCCACTGATCTCAGTACCTGTGTGGCACTTGAGGGTTGAGGCTGTATGACGAGTGAAGACTGCCACAATACTGCTGAAGCAGTAATGACGATACCCCAAACAGTAGCTTGAATACTGGAAATGACAAATAGTGAAATAGCCCATGAAACAACATTGCCAATACATAATATTGCGTGAACCAGGTGACCCATCCAGTGTTTAGAGTCTGGGCCAAGAAATGTGGACATACAAAAAAAGTGGATAAAATCTTCTGGGTGGAAACTATGTGTGTGTGGCTTCCCTAGGAGAGACAGAACTGTGGCAGTGCTCGTACAGGAACACCTCCTAACCCTGAAGTTATTCCACGTTGTCCTAAAATGGTTGATACATCCACCACTTACCATGTAACAAACATTATTATAAACACTTTACACAAATTAACCCATGTCTAAAAATTACCTCACAGACACTGTTGTGCATGTTTGACAAATGAAGAAACTGAGGCACAAACAGCTTAAGTAACTTTCCTGTAATAGGCTCAATAATGTCCAAAGATGTCCACGCCCTAACCCTTAGAACCTGTGCATTTGTTAACTTATGGAATGAAAAGGCCTTTGCATATGTGATCAAGTTAAGAATTTTTGGATAGAGATACTATCTTGGATTATCTGAGTGGGTCCATTATAATCACAAAGATTCTTATAAGAATCAGAGAAGGGGATGGAAGCAGAGGCCAGAGTTAAGTGATCAGATGTTAAGGAGCTTAGGCAGCTTCAAGAAGCTAGAATAAGCAAGGAAATAGATTCTTTCCTACAGCTTCCAGAAGAAATGTCACCCTGATTTTAGCTCAGTGAAACTGATTTCAGACTTCTGGCTTCCAGAATTATAACATAAAAAATCTGTGTTGTTTGTGTTGACTTAAGCCACTACATTTGTGGTAAGCAAAGCAGCAACAAGGAAACTAATACATTGCCCAAGGTTACGATGCTACAAAGTGGCAGGGCGAGGATTAAAACTGAGGCGATCTAGTGCTAGTTACAGGGATTTAACCACTGTGTTATTTAGGGCCTCTCGCAGGCAGAATAAAATTTCACCCTGCAAGCAAAATGGGGGTCTCCTAGGTTTTCCTCTTATGCTGAGAATTCCAGGTCCTGGAGAAGAAGAAAAAGAGAAAGAAAGAGAGAGAGAGAGAAGGAGTGAGAGAGGGAAGGAGGAAGGAAGAAAGGAAGGAAGGAAGGAAGGAAGGAAGGAAGGAAGGAAGGAAGGAAGGAAGGAAGGAAGGAAGGAAGGAAGGAAAAACAGAAAGAGGGAGGATGGGAGGGAGGGAAAAAGTAAAAATGATTCTACACCAGCTGGTATATACCAATACCCTTCCCTGCCCCACGTCTTCACAGCTGTGTGGCAAGTGAAGACCAATGGATCCAGGCTTCCTGATACTTGTATTTATCATGATTCACTTAGGCAGGGTGGGGAAAGAAATGCTAATTACACACTTACCAATGGAATACTTTTACAAGGATCAAAATTTCTCGCTGCAGCCATGAAAAAGAATGAGAGCTGGCGGCCATTATCCTTAGCGAAATAACGCGGAAACAGAAAACCAAATTATCACATGTTCTCACTTGTAAGTGGGAGCTAAATAAAGAGATCACATGGACACTAGGAGGGGAACAACAGACACTGGAACCTACTTGAAGGTGGAGGGTGGGAAGAGGGAGAGAATGAGAAAAAATACCTATTGGATACTGTATTACCTGGGTGACGAAATAATCTGCACACCAAACCCCCACGACAAGCAAGTGACTTATATAACAACCCTCACATATACTCCTGAACCTAAAAGTTAAAAGAAAAAAAAACATATACTAAAATGAAAACGATTCTCACTGTAACAATATTATCCCCTCGTGATTATTATATTCCTAAGTTTTAGGCACTTTTACATCCTGCTCGCTGCCCCCAGCTCTCGTAACACAGCATCCAGGACATAGTGGGCGCTTATAAATACTGATGGAATTAAACTGAGCGCTTATGCTAGCATATTTAGACCAGCGCTTTTCAAACGTCAAGGTGCACGTGAATCCCTGGGGACACCGTTAAAATGCAGATTCAGAGTTAGAAAGTCTGGTTGGAGCCTGACATTGGGCATTTCCACCGAGTTCCCATATGATGTTTGTCTATGTTCTGTATTTTTCAAGGTCTCAGAAAATGAGACCTCCCTATCCATATACAAATATGAGTCTCACAAACTGAAAATTTAATGAAAGTTTACAAAGAGCATAGTAGATGTTTCCTCTTTTCCCCTACCCTCCCAATAAAGGGAACAAATTAGATGCGAGGGTTCAATGGAAAGAGTTGCAACAGCATCCAGGCGCTCGCTCTCCTCCGGTCTTCCTGAGAGACAGGGAAAGGGGTAATGAGAGGAAGGAGGGAAGTGTCCAGGAGCTCCCACGCTGCTGTTCCTCTTCCATTTTCAGCTTTTAAAGAACACCCGCCCCTTCGAACCACCGAGGTCATGGGCGAATACACCGGAGCGCAGCACCGCGCCCCTCCTGCCCGCCTCCGCGCCCTTGCCCAGACCGAGGCGGCCGACGCGCCTGCGTGCGCGCTAGGTATAAATAGGTCCCAGGAGGCAGCCACTGGGCAGAACCGGGCTGCGGGAGCCGCGGGCCATGGCGGGCGAGAACCACCAGTGGCAGGGCAGCATCCTCTACAACATGCTTATGAGCGCGAAGCAAACGCGCGCGGCTCCTGAGGCTCCAGAGACGCGGCTGGTGGATCAGTGCTGGGGCTGTTCGTGCGGCGATGAGCCCGGGGTGGGCAGAGAGGGGCTGCTGGGCGGGCGGAACGTGTCGCTCCTGTACCGCTGCTGCTTTTGCGGTAAAGACCACCCACGGCAGGGCAGCATCCTCTACAGCATGCTCACGAGCGCAAAGCAAACGTACGCGGCACCGAAGGCGCCCGAGGCGACGCTGGGTCCGTGCTGGGGCTGTTCGTGCGGCTCTGATCCCGGGGTGGGCAGAGCGGGGCTTCCGGGTGGGCGGCCCGTGGCACTCCTGTACCGCTGCTGCTTTTGTGGTGAAGACCACCCGCGGCAGGGCAGCATCCTCTACAGCTTGCTCACTAGCGCAAAGCAAACGCACGTGGCTCCGGCAGCGCCCGAGGCACGGCCAGTGGGCGCGTGGTGGGACCGCTCCTACTTCGCGCAGAGGCCAGGGGGTAGAGAGGCGCTACCAGGCGGGCGGGCCATGGGGCTTCTGTACCGCTGCTGCTTTTGCGGTGAAGACCACCCGCAGCAGGGCAGCACCCTCTACTGCATGCCCACGAGCACAAATCAAGTGCAGGCGGCTCCGGAGGAGCGGCCGAGGGCCCCCTGGTGGGACACCTCCTCTGGTGCGCTGCGGCCAGTGGCGCTCAAGAGTCCACAGGTGGTCTGCGAGGCAGCCTCAGCTGGCCTGTTGAAGACGCTGCGCTTCGTCAAGTACTTGCCCTGCTTCCAGGTGCTGCCCCTGGACCAGCAGCTGGTGCTGGTGCGCAACTGCTGGGCGTCCCTGCTCATGCTTGAGCTGGCCCAGGACCGCTTGCAGTTCGAGACTGTAGAAGTCTCAGAGCCCAGCATGCTGCAGAAGATCCTCACCACCAGGCGGCGGGAGACCGGGGGCGACGAGCCACTGCCCGTGTCCACGCTGCAGCCCCATTTGGCACCGCCGGCGGAGGCCAGGAAGGTGCCCTCCGCCTCCCAGGTCCAAGCCATCAAGTGCTTTCTTTCCAAGTGCTGGAGTCTGAACATCAGTACCAAGGAGTACGCCTACCTCAAGGGGACCGTGCTCTTTAACCCGGGTAAGGGTACTGGCCTTGGGCGCCGGCTTTTCTCAGCTCACAAAAGCATCAGGCAGTGCCTATCTAGGGGCGCGGGCAGTAAGGAGTTTTCAGTGATCAGGAGAGTGTCGGGACAAAGGTGAAGAAATCATGACTAACTCAGCAGAGTTGGGGTGGGGGGCTCCAGGAACCACTTCTCCTGGGTGGGCTGCTGTCAGAAACTCAGCCAAGAGGGGGGGAGTTGTTTGTTTAGGTTTGTACTTAGCTCTTTACACGTTTCTTACTACAGAAAAGTTTGTGCCTTCATGGGAAATGGTTATTCTTTCTTTAGCTTTCTTTGAAGTCCAGAGCATATCTTTTTCTAAAAAAAGTTTTTGCTCACTGAAGATTCTGCGACATCGATTTCTGAAACTCCATTCTGAAATGTACTAGAACCTTTTTTGGGGGGAGGAGATCTATTAAGGCTAGCAAAAAAGGAAACATTTGTTAAAGGGTCCCATAGAGAGACTATTCCCTAGGGACACTGTCAGACAGTACACTGGATGTAGTGTTTCATGGGCCTGCCTCTGAATGGTTATTTGTATGGTCCTAAGCATCTGGACTATCCCTTCCTCCAAATCTCTGTGAAGAATATCAGGTCGGCAAAGGGATAAGAAAAAAAAAAAAAGTCACTTTAGGGACTGAGAGCAGGAACACTGTATTTTAGAATTCAAAGAGACTTTAGAGACCTCCTAATCAACCCCCTTTGCTCTGTAACCTTCCCCCACCGCATTTTACTGTGTAGGTGGATGTGTCCCAAGGTCCCAAGTGACCTTACTCCAAAGTAAATGGCTGGTGTGTTGTGGCACCTGAGGGTCCTATCTTCTGGGCCCTGTGGGATGTCGGCTGCACCAAACTTTCAGGTTGTCTGTTGGGTGCAGGACACACTGTCCCACAGGGTGCAACCAAATCACTGGGGGAACATCTCCCTGGACAGCCAGGCACCTTGTCTTGGGTGTTTCTCCCCTACTAGAATCATCTTCAACCAGCGTCCTTTTGAAATGATTGAAGTGGAAAAAAATTTTCCAGACAACCTGAGTTGGGATAGTTTCCATAATGCTCCTTTTGTATCTTTTTTCCCTGGTGCTGGAATCTCTGATTATGTCCTGGCCCCCTGCCTGGCATTTTTGAGAGTGCGTAATATGTATTAATATATTTAATATATATATTTAATATATTTAAATTTATTATATGGGATATACAAAAGACAAACAGCAAAGAGAGGCCACAGTCTCAATAGGCGTTACCTTTCTCCCCAATATAGGTACATTTGAGTTTCAAACACACTCAGCTTAGCTGGTTAAACTCATACTGAGAAAGGATTAGGAAAAGTCAATCAAGAACAAGGAAGAAGTGTGCGCGTGTGTGTGTGTGTGTGTCTGTGTGTGTGTGTGTATGTTAAAAGTATATAAAACAGGGTCAAGGGAAAGAGGGAAACTATTGATACTGAAACTAATGGAATGTAAATTTCTGGAAGGTGAGCCCCTTTCACCTTTATATCCCAACAGGACAAGGAACGTAGTGGATGATTAATAATACTAGCTGAAGGAATAAGAAGACTGTTTTCCAAATTATCTTGAGAATCATCTGTGACCCTTATTATGAATGCAGATTTGCAGACACTGGGCTAGAGCTACTGAATCAGAATCTATAAGGCAGGAGCCTAGAAAGACTTTTATCTACTCCCTCCCACCCCCAACTACACACACACAGGTACTTCTTATGCACAGGCAAGTCTGGAAAACAATGGTATAAGCAAAAAGGTAACATATAATAGACACTGGGGTGAGCTGAGGTCTCTATGTCATGAAACGTGAGGTTTGAACGAATTATTATCCCACCAAATACACACACACACACGCACACTTCTTCCTTGTTCTTGATTGACTTTTCCTAATCCTTTCTCAGTATGAGTTTAACCAGCTAAGCTGAGTGTGTTTGAAACTCAAATGTACCTATATTGGGGAGAAAGGTAACGCCTATTGAGACTGTGGCCTCTCTTTGCTGTTTGTCTTTTGTATATCCCATATAATAAATTTAAATATATATATATAATATATATATAGAGAGAGAGGTTCAAACTTAAGGAGATATAAAACGGCGGAGTCCATTTGCGTTTTCTCTGCCCTGACCTTATTTTGAAGGCCAGTTTGTGTGTGTCTGTGTTGGGGGGAACCACTTGGGTGGGGAGAAGGTAAAGGGGTATATTGTGAACACAGAGAGAAGTAATGTGGCATTCACAAGATGAAGTTTCCACAAGTCATGAATCTAGACCTAGAGAAGCTTCAGATTTCTGGTGGTGTTTCATGCAAGCCTCTTCCTACTTTCGTTGACGGAATTCAAACAAAACGAAATTGGATCTTAAGCCTGGATCTCAAGTGGCAGGTAGTAGGGGATGATAATGTGTGAACTAGGGTAATCAGAATTGGAATATGGATTAAAATTCTTGCTTTAATTTTGTTCTTATTTTATTTATGAGATTTGATATTTGCCTGTAATAGGAGTGCCTCTCGCCTATTACCATTAATATATCTTTTTAAGAACACCGGTTCTGCTGCTCTGTGATGATTGGCATGGTGCTTTTAAAATACTTTTCCATTGAATTTTTTAGGAAAAGGGAAGGAAAATGATTACAATCATCATTAGCATCATTTAAACCAAGTGGTCAACTGCTAATTACTTGAATACAAGTTAAAGAACTTTGCAATGATATTATTATCATGGAAGATCAAAGGACCTTCAAAAGCAGCCTCCTCTTATTACTTTCCTTATAAAAACTTACATGCTCTTAAACTTTCCTGCATTGTATTTCATTCACTTTTACTTAGGTATCACACTATACTGCAAAAGGTCATGTGTTTTCTATTACAAAAGTTATTTTTGAATCATGGTGCAATTCGTGATGTTTTCATGTTTACTTTTTAAACTTTTAATGACTATAAGAATGTTCAAAAACTTCTTACTCTGATATTTTTGAAAAGAGCCTTTTCGAATATTCATAAGAATCATTCTTTTATTTTTTTCAAAACCTTCCCCGATACAGAAATCATGGTACAATGAGCTAAGTGGCTATTGTTAGCTTTCAAATTATTCGGGGCCTCTAGACTAATATTGGCCTGCAGCCAAAGAGGTAAAATGAAACTGTGTGTCAAAGTTTGTGGCTGTGAAGTTTACCACCATTGGCTGAACGATCAGTATAATGGTGGGAAGTTCAAAGAAGAATGGTAAAAGCATTTGTCATCTGGCAACGCTTCTTGTTTCTCATGGCTTGTTTCTCATTGGTAAAGTGCCCACCTCTTGAAATATCATGAACTTCTTCATATTTGCATAGAAAGTGAACTGGAGTGATGATTCATTAAACTCTATTCTACTGTCATATTAAATTGTGTGCATTTGTTGGCTCATGGCCAGTGTATTTGCAAACGTGTGCATACAAACATAGTGAATATTAAGTAAGAGTGATCACACGATGTCTCATTCTTGGACATGTTGCTTCTGAAAACTTAGACTGGTTTGGCATTTTACCCTTTTAACCGGGAAGCTTGGGGTCTTTTTTAATTGGGACGAAACAGAAATGGGCATTTTTAAAAAGCTATCTAAGGACTCTGTGGTGAGCTGTTTTATAACAAAGAGATTTTTCTCCCTCCAGACGTGCCGGGCCTGCAGTGCGTGAAGTACATTCAGGGACTCCAGTGGGGAACTCAGCAGATACTCAGTGAACACGCCAGGATGACGCACCAAGGGCCCCATGACAGATTCATCGAACTGAATAGTACCCTTTTCCTGCTGAGATTCATCAATGCCAATGTCATTGCTGAACTGTTCTTCAGGCCCATCATTGGCACAGTCAGCATGGATGATATGATGCTGGAAATGCTTTGTACAAAGTTGTAAAGGCCTGTGGGCCACACAAATGCAGTAGTGCAGTTCACCATGAGGGAAGAATAAAGAGCTGTGGGCAAAAGAGTGTAAAATATTTTAAAATAAACTTTCTTATTATTTTTACATGCAGAGTATTTTGTATTCAATTAAAGAAATACTTTTATTCCAGACAGTTATAAATTTCTCTGTTACATAGTTAAAGAAGACATTTCCCAACAGGTAACATATCTCTGTACATCTTTTTAAAAATAGCAGGGTACTACTATAATAAGCTGTTTTCACAAGTGTAGCAATTTCAGGGAACCTACTCAAATCAAATTTGTACATATTGTTATAATAAATTTTAAGGTCTTAACCATTAACTTGATTGAAAAAGGTTTCAGCAGGGTTTAAGTAAGGCTTCAAAAACTATTAAAACTAGCCAACATAAGCAAAAAGTATCTTTGGAAGTAACATCATGACATTGAATGTAATTATGTGCCAGTATCAGTGGCAGGTCACTTTGCTCTATCTTCAGTTCCACTTCCATCAGCTGTATGGAAGACTGCGTTTGCATCCAGCTGGAGTCAAGAAGCAATCTGTAATTATAAAGACACGTGGAAGTGAAAGAGATTTTCAGCTTTTTGGGGTATCTTTTTTGTGCACAGTTATGGATTTAAAGTTTCACAAGGAACATACATTCTATAACGAGGGGTTATAGTTCCAGAAAGCTCAACATCATTATGAAACCACTAATTATGCTTCATCTTTTAGATACATTATGTTTGTAACTGGTATATTGAACAAGCATGGCATGAAATCATAAAGCAACTTTATTGTTGACTCCTGCTGCCCCTTTAATTATCTTCCATAGAACTGGTTTTTCTTTGTCTCCAGATAAAATTTAGGCTACTATATGTCTATTTGTTTATGGGCAATAAATTGCCTGTTATTAATGAGTATATCTAGTCTAGGGTAATAACCCATTGCAGGAAGTCTTAAACTTCCTTTTGTGCAGACCCCTTTGGCAGTCTGTTGAATCCTATGGACATTTTGTCGAAATCAGGCTCTCAGAGGAATGCAGTAGGGCTGAAGAAAGCGTCATGATAGTCACAGCACACACACACACACACACACACACACACACACACAATCCCTGAGGGCTCGTGTGGTCCCCTGGAAACAAAGAGTTAAAAATGTTAGGGCACCCCAGCAGGATATGCATCGGTCAGGCAGCCCCCAGTGTGGCCTCCCACCGAGGTGCCTCCTGCCCCAAGGTATTCAGTCCAGTGAAAGTAATTCAGTTCAGCCCCCGGTTTTAGAGGGGCTGCCTGGGGCTGTCAGTCTCAAATAGTTCTGTCACTGACACTACTTCATCTGCCTGGTGAGTGTAGATGGCATCTGGACACGTTCTGCGGGGACATGCAGTGGAAGCTGGCCCTCTGCTGCCAGCTCATAGTCACCCTGTCCCGTGCCATCTAGGCTCAGCCCTTGGTCTGAGTCCAAAGCGCCTGCAGCACTTGCAAAAGCAGCGCAAGAGTTTTCTTCGAAAAGAGGGGAAAGCTTCCAGAAGCAGTTCCAGAAAGCAAAAATCATTAATGCTCTACCTCCTCCCCTGAGCCTTCCCTGGTGTCAGGGTTGTTTTTCTCGACTGTTACAAAATCAATGTGTCCCATTCAATAATCCCAGCTTTACACATTTTCCTAATCACTTCTTTTTTCACCCAGACCTTCTGGAAGGATTGTGTGTAAGGGGGACAGAAGCATTATCACAGAGTAACGTTTTAATACAACTTAACCAGAAAGACACTTCACGTTCAGGAAGCGGTCAGGGCAAAATCCTGATTTTCAATATTTTTTCAAAATGGGTTTACATACCATCCCCCATGCCTTTTTCCGTGATCATTTATTTAGTGAACACCTAGCAAAAATCAATCCTTTTCTGAGGACGCTGCATTGGATGATCAAACTGCCTTACTAAGGTGTGGACAACAGGAGAAAGGCAAGGGAAGTAAAGGCAGGCTATCAGTCCATTGTTGCAAACTGCAACTAACCTGGAAAGTGGAACATAAGTCAATAGCCATGAGACGTCCCTGAGAGTCTGATCTATCAGGGGTGGGCAGAGGGGTCACATACCCTGTGGTGTGCCCCTTCCTAAATCGCAGCCTTCGGCTAGAATCACAAGTTAGGAACGCAATCAGGCTCTTGTATCCCATATCAGAAATATCGAGTCCATCAGCAGCTCCATTTCTAATGGTCCCATCAGAGAACAAGCCTTTTTCTCTAGGGCATCTGCAGGTGACCCAGATGGTCAGCTAGCATCCATGATGTTTTATAGCTGTGACCCCGCAGGGATGTCTTAGATTTGTGGCAGTTCCAGAGACTGAGCTCTGTTCATTGAGCTTGTGTGGACTTTCAGTTCAGCACAGCTCAGTGCTGAAACTGAAACAGGCTATAACCGGCAGTATCAGGTTTCAGTCAGGTCCAGGAAATTAGGATCTGTGAATTCAGTATTCAAAAAAGCTAGAGGCTTTTCTTCAGCAGCAGCAGCAAAGCTAAGACGCTGTAGGCCAGATACCTGTGTTTCAAGTCCAAGTAACAGGCAAGGCTGTTCCTAAGGACTTTTTACCCTGTTAGGCCAGATTGTTCAAACTGACCCATGCAAAAATATGCATGTCAGGCTAGAAAATCATCAGCCTCTAAGGGTCAGAAATCTGACTTAACAAGAGCTTATTGGCAAAAGCAAACAAAACCCCACAACTCCCTAACCCCTGAAACCTGCTTTGAAAACCCCAAAAGCGTGTCTTCATTTGGAGATTGGCTCCCTTTTCCAGAGGCTCCAGTAGGCATAATTTTGGCAAATAAAATAAAATAAATTATCCGTTACTGAGCCTTGTTTCCAATACCAAGAGTATAAATTCCAATCTGCCCACCTGTGGCAAAAAAGCAAGGGAGCTGTGTTTCATTAACACTTTTTTTTTCCTTTGCAGCTTTTCCTGATTGAGATGACCCTTCTAGCATTTATGAAATTATAAGCACATAACATTGCACATCAATTTTCATCAGACATCCACATGCAATAGCCACAAATGCAAAGCTGTGAATTAAAATTCCTGTTTTTTTCTTATTACGAGTTTACTAAAATCCCTAGCAGTAAATTTTCCATTTACAGAGTTCACATCACAGCTGCCAGGAGAACCCAGCTGGGATGGAAGGGAAAGGGAGGGGAGCAGCAGCAGCCAGGCTGGAGAAATAGCTAAGTGGGTTTCCCTCTCTTCCTTCTTCCCTCCCTCCCTCCCTTCCTCCCTTGCTCCCTTTCTCCCTCCTTTCCTCTCTTCCTCCCTTCCTCCCTTTCTCCCTTCCTCCCTTTCTCCCTTTCTCCCTTCCTCCCTTTCTCTCTCTCCCTTTCTCTCTTCCTTCCTTTCTTCCCTCCCTCCCTCTCTCTCTCTCTCTCTCTCTCTCTCTTTCTCCTCTGCTTTATCTAAATCCTTGCTCCAGCCCTGGAAACAGACTTAATTCTTTTTTTCTCTCTACTTGGAGGAGAGAACAACTACAAACTACATTTTATGATATTTGGCACATCCAAAGCCCATTGTACAGAATGTTTGGGCCCTTTTTCCTCCTGCGAGGGTGTTAAGGAGGGGGAGAGACTACAAAAAAAACAAAGCTATCATCACCTAGGCTATGTTACTATTTCCTATCCCACCTTGCCCCAGTTACTTCAGCAGAGCCAACTCTGTATGGTCAAAAGCACCTAGCAGATCCAGAGAGCCAGCCCTCCTGGGATGAATCTACCCTTTCCAAATTCAATAGGTAACTTTTTACCTCTGATCACAGACAGCAGCTCAGTTGCTGTTTCATATTATGGTTAACTCCATAGCCACCCAAGTACCAGGGTTTCATAATTCCCTGCCCTTCTCTCTTTCTTTTTCCCAAATAATACTGCAGCTAGATTTCAGTGAATTGAGGTCATTCTAGCAAATCTCACCACTGCCACCATTGTGTCGTTGTTCCCAAGACCACTCTCGTATTCAGATATTTGCTAAAACGTCTCACAGCACTCCACAGTTGTACATTATGGCGATATACTTGCACTCACAGTTGTACATTATGGCGATATACTAAGAGTATAAGGCTGGGTCATAGGGAGAAAACACACAGGCCTCCATACGCAGGCCACTTTACAGTCTCTTCCTCCCATGAGGGGTCACAAAGGATCTACTCTTTCCCCAGCAATAAAAACTCAGCCACATGTGTGTGATTATTTCTGCTCAGGGAAACCCTTTTCAGATTCCACCCTTAGGGCTTTTATAGAGAGCTGGTCACGTAGGTACCCTCTACCTAGCACGTACCAAAATTCCAGACACACAAAAAGGAAGTAGGTGCTCGGTATGAACTATGTTGTGTGCACAAACTGTCCAGGCACAGTGAGTCGCCCCTATGAGTTAGGGAAGGTTGAGAACACTCTCAAAATTGAAGTTCCCAGATGCCAGCCAAAAACTAACCTTCTGAGCAGGCCATCCTAAGGATAGCAGTCTCAGACCTACTACGTTAACTCTTTTCTGCACAGGTACTGCCAATATTACTGTGTCGTGTTGCCTGCATTCATAGTTAAAGGAGAGGCTACATTTCAGTTAGAAGCCCATGAAGACATATGCGTGACTATTTTTTTCCCATTCAAGTTCTTGAAACCCCTGATTTCTATCCACAGGCTTCTCAAAGCCAGGGGTTCATTGATTATTGACTCAGTTCCTCTGAAAGTTAATAGCTAAATTTTTCCCAGTCTGAGACATTCCCACTTTAACTGCCTACAGTGGGACAGAGGGGGCTTCTAATCTCTCCTCACTTTGCACTTCTAGTCCTACTTCCATATCTTGTTACTTACATTTGCAGATACCCACAGGGTTGGAAGGTATCAAGGAGAAAGAGGCAAGGGGAGCAGAAGAGTTCTTACCTCACTGATGCTGATCTTGTAGTTTTCTCTGGTCTGGCCATGACAAATGTTTAAAGTTGTCTCTTCTCATGGGTGCTTTCAGAGATAATTTGGAGATCTTCCTCTACACTCCTTCACCCTAGATCTCTTGGGATCTCTCCCCAGAAACTCCTTCTATACCACTAGTTTATATCCCCTTCCTCAGTCCCCAG